CAAAATTTTGCATCGACAACCTCTACCGAAATTACCATTAAACAGTACATAGAGGATATGCGACAAAAATGGAAACACGCCTTGGAATTCTCAAAAATATTAACGGATATTACTCATGAGAAGAACAGTCAAAATTATGACCACAAGAAGGTGGATATTTCTTTTAAAGTTGGCGATTCGGTTTACATTAAAGATGAAGTACGAGTAGTTGGTCGTACTGAGAAATTAACAAACAAATATAAAGGGCCGTACATTATCACACAAATATTAGAGAACGGCAATGTGCAGATTAAATACGATCACCCAACGTCAAAGCGAAGATCAACGGATACAGTACACATTTCAAAATTAAAATCTTATAGACAGTACGACGCTGATGTACAGAATAGTCGAAACGACTACGTCCAAAAATTAAGATCCCGGCACACTCATAACGCTAGCGCTAAGTAATCTGCTCACGTTAAAAGTGTACAATTAGATTATACTCGTTGGATGCGCTAGCCTATGTACACTTGCAGATTTAACATTAATCGCATTATAGATGCAACTAACGCTAGGTAATCTAGCGCATGCTAGCGCGAAGTAATCTGCTTACGTCAAAAGTGTACAAATAAATTATACTCGTTGGATGCGCTAGCCCTATGTACACTGCAGATTTACCATATTAACCGCATTGTAGATGCAACTACAGAAATGGACATTCCCATGGAAGATATTAACGCACCGCAAGCTGAAAGCAGCCGTCCACAGCAGCAACCCGCTCCGACAACCAGCGCAGCACCAGCGGACAAGATTAACGTGCAGCCCGACTACGCTGCTGCTCTACGTAAACCGGCAGACATCCAGTTGGCGACGACGCGTGCACCGCTCTTGGACACACCTGAAGATGCAGATGAGCTACAGTACACCGGTCAGAGCCTTCAGTATACTGGCTACCGTGGCCGTGGATCACGAAGAGGAGGACGTGGAAATTATCAGAACACCATGCCTCGACAACGCCGACAGCGCGAACAAAGCCCACAAGATCCCCGGATGATCAGATCCAGTACGTTAACCCTGGACCGCGCCAGAAGCTCACCACGTTCGACGACAAGGCAGAAATCCTTTCATTGGATTCAAAATTAAAACTCCGCATCATGACTACCGCGCACATATGGAAAACATCAATACAGCCATTGAGAATGGATCGGACATCATCAAAGACACAGCAGATCCGTATGAACGTGACATTAAAATCGCACAGAACCAGGTGTTATGCAACACATACACCTTCCTAGAGCGCCTTCGCCTCAATGTTGACCATGCCGATGAAGACAAATTCTCCTCCTTCCCTGTTCCCATGAGCAGCGTGTTAAGTCCACATTATTTTCAGTCCTGGCGTTTTGACAGATTTGCGTTATCACCGTGGATCCGCTATCCGGAGACGACGGAACATGGCGATACGAACACCGATGTGGATTCGTGTACCGCTACATTAAAACCCCACAACGTCATGGATTCGAGCAAGTTGAACAATACCCGCGCTACTTCAACCCGTACCGCTTCTTCACCACCGACTTTCCCTTTTATCGTGGTCAGATCAAATGGGACGGCAGCTACACCGCCGAAAGCCGTGCCGCAAAGATTAGAGCACAGTTACTTGAAGATGACCAGCTGTTCTACGCAATCGGAGACAACGGAGATCAGACGTTACCATTTGTGGAATTACCCGAAGTTGCCGTTGGAAAACATTAACCGCGATGTTGCTTCAATTATGACAGCATTTGGCGTTGAAGGATATACCGAAGAGGAAATTAACCAGTATCATTCACCTACCGTCCGGGACAAAGATAAAGAAATCTATGACCTACGACAGGAATTGGATCAGCTCCGTCAGCGAATGAACCGTATGCGCGATTCCGACCGGCGCACTCACTGAGCATCATACCGGAAAACGATCGCAGAATCCCGATCGTCTGCTTGAAAATTAACCTTCGCGTGGAAGATTAAACTTGGGATCCACCACGCCGTACAGTATTAGCATCAGCGTTATTCTCTATTTTTTCATTTTTAATTTCTTGATGAGACACGTATATCTCATCGCTACCGTCCGGGATGTAACGATAGAAAATCTTAGTACCGCCAGTTGGGATTGTTAATTGCTTTTCTACATCAGTTATTGGTTCATTCGTTCCTTGTCTTCCTCATTAAGATCATGTGATCAGCATCTCATTGTCTTACCGCTTTACCGCTACAATCTCGATGCTCTTAACTTTTACTTTGGCGCACTAGAATCATTCTTGGATTTGCTCCTTGCCAGCTAGCTAACCTTGCTTTTGCCTTCTTGCCCTGTGTACTTGCTAATAAGAATCTTGCCGTGACTGCCGTGTCTTGCGTTTGTTGTTTGTAAACACTTCGAGATGAATCATCTCATCTCCCACACAGTAGTTGTGTAATTGCCACCTTACTTCCGGTCAGCATCGCTGCTGATCGTGCCAGCCTTTTGATTGTCAGTTAGCCTTAACAGCCGCTACATCGTGGTACGGTGGATTAACCATCCCACTAGAACAGCAGTTTAACCGGCTGCTGTACTTCCGGTTTGTAATTGCCAGGTCATCGCTGCTGATCGTGCCAGCCTTTTGATTGTCAGTTAGCCTTAACAGCCGCTACATCGTGGTACGGTGGATTAACCATCCCACTAGAACAGCAGTTTAACCGGCTGCTGTTGCAGTATATATGAGGACAAATGACAATACTAACGTAGTAATAAAGGTCACAGTCAAAAATGCATACTCATAGTAAAAATTAATAAAATGCCCCGTTCATGACATTTTTGAAATGACAAATTGTGGTAAAAATATTCGAACCAATTTACTACTTTATACCAAATTTCTAGCAATTTTTCCAGCAGATTGTTTTTTTACCTTTAGCTTCCACGTTCTAAGTAGCCCTCCCGTCCAAGGGAGTTAAATTCGCCTATGCTATGTTACGTGCTGCTTCTGACACTGAATGAGTGACATCATTTTTATGACAGTATCAGACGGCACTCCCAACAAAACAGACAGCAAAACTCGATTTTGTTGGGGTTGTAACGCTTAATTCAATATTTAATAACGTTTAGGTAGGTGCCGGTGGAAATCGGAATTATGAAACCGGGTTACATGTACGGCTTCATAGTTCACAGGGAGTAGGCGCGTGTGGGATCTCGCGTGTGCTGTTACTAAATTAACTTGTACTACTCCCTACGGCGGCGAAACTCAGCGCAGTCTGTTGGTATGTACTCTACTCATACACTGTTTGCTGCAATACGGTGACTTTTTGAACTGAGCTGCAGTTTTAACGAGAAGGAACAGCACCGCACAAATGGCACAGATGACGGTGACTTTTTAAACTGAGCTGCAGTTGTAACGAGAAGGAACAGCACCGCACAGATGGCGCAAACTGTAAACCCCAGCCCGATCCGAAGGCATGATTTCGAACGAGATCGTGTAGCACGACAACTCTATGACCTTCATTTCGCTGACCGACAACTTGATGACCGACGTGTTGCTGACTAACACAACTTTCTGACCGACATCTTGCAGAAACTAATTTGCTGAACGACAGCTTACTTGTCGGTCAGCGAAATGTCGGTAATCGACAACTCGCTGACCGACAACTTGTAGAAGACGAAAAATTGCTGACCGACAATTTGCTGACCAGTTCAACGCATATTAGCGATATTTACGCGAAAACTGGAATCTTCGCTGGTTTCATAAAAAGGAAGCAATACTATGACAGTTATAAGTGAATTATAACTTTTTGCCATTTATTACGCGGTATTAAGTTCACGAGTATGTTATTGTTTCAGCCAATAACAATTATTTATTAAAAACTTTTAGAAATGTTTTGATAATTACACCGGTTTCTTAGGTTTCTTAGGATTTGATGGGTAACAAACTACTTGCCGCTGCTAACAGCACAGTTCTGCAACTTCACCATGAAGCACCCGCCCTGGACGGACGCCTGGTACCCGGTGCTCACATTGCGCAGTAAATTTGGGGTCAGCGAGTTGTCGGTATTTCCATTAGACGTCGGTCAGTAAAATGTCGGTCAACAATTTAGCAAGTCGTCGGGTAAACATTCTGTCAGTCAACAAAATATCGTCAGCAAATCGTCGGTGTCAGCGAACTGTCGTTCAGCGATTTTTTGTTTCAACAAACTGTCGGGTCAACATTTGTCGGTCAGCAAATAGTCGTCAGCAAGTTGTCGGTCAGCAAGATGACCGTCAGCGAGTTGTCGGTGTGCCGACGCATAGCGCAAACGGATACAGATTTAGAGCAAACAGCGGATCGCTTTGCGAATTTCAAAAACTGATGAATTCAAACTGGCTATAACTAAACTGGCTTTATTCAAAACGCTTCATTCTTCATACTTTACTTTTAACGTTTTTGGTATCAAAAATCTTCCCAAATGCTTCTTCGCCTTTTGACGCTTTGACTGCCATATCTTATAAACCACGCCCTGTTATAACAGATCTTTCATCCAGAACCAGATCTTGTTAAAACAGGATCTGGTGGTGGAATGGATTCTGCGAGCCAGTGCGTCAGAAGATGAAGAAAAATTTAAGAAGATTTTTACACCTAAAAAGTTGCCGCGGGTGTTGGCTGAATAAAGTTATAGCCATTTTCAATTAAACAGTTTCTGGAATTCGCTAGGCGATCCGCTGGATGCTCGAAATCTGTATCCGTTTGTGCTCGCGAAACGATTGTTTGCTTCAGGATCGGGCAGGTGGATGACTGGAGCATTACAGGGAGGGTGTGTAACACGACAATGAATTCCGCTTCTATATACTTACAGTATTATTCGCAGTATATAGCTGTGCATAAATGGTGCACGTACTTTGATAAGCTAATACGGAATGCCAGTAAAGGTGTTTTGGTTACAGTGCTTGAACTGCAGTCTGTATTGATACTTACTAGATTTCGAAATTAATGCTAAGCAATAGCAGTGCGCACAAGCTTGTGAAACCGAAGTACTGAGCGTCTACCCAGCGCTACTCGTACAACGATACCATAATAGTTATGACTGTTAATATTAATTTTTGCTGTAAACCAAATCACCTTGAAATATCTCTTAATGTGTGATGTTGTGAATTAACACCACTTATATTCCACACGAATTATCCGACATATTGCACTAGAAAAATATTCCATGGAGTAAGCTATATTATCCGCCCTATCTGCACAAGAAACACCAAAGCGAATTCTGCCAATTGTTATGGGTATTACAGCTATTTGTATTATGAACCGAAAAACTGTCGTACTGATTGTGTCTTTAATTGCGTACTGTACTGACCGGAATTTGCCATTCGCTCATGCTGTAAAATTACCACGCCTTCGTTCTGGAAAAGACGGCTTGGGCTCATCTGCTGTTTTGGATGTGTCTGAACCTAAATCCTGTTGGTTGTATCGCGATGAGTTTTTTCCTAATAGAGCCTTCCGTGATAGGGTCATCACAGGTACGTACTATATACTATATAGTGACGGAATTCTTTCGGCAAAATCAAGAGCGGGATTTATTAATTGACGAAGTTTTTTTGCAAGCAGACGGAGGTGTATGCGTGCGCGACAGTGAACTTTGGGATGGTTGTGAGCGATTTGGACTGAATCATACCAAATTCAATGTAAAATGTGAAATCTGTAATGTCCGTTCACACTCGTGCTGTTATGGCACTAGCACCGACAGTGCATTACCGGAGATTTTTAAAGCCCATGCTCTTGAAGGTACAGTACATCCGTGTTTATGTCCATTGTAAATTAAGGATTTCCGAAAAGGTCAAAGACCGCGAACTACACAAATTTATCAAGACCTAATTCCACAAAATAAATGATTTTGTGCAATTAGGTCTTAATAATTTTAAAATATTAAAATTATTGTAAATGCTTGAACAGCCAAAGATATCCGTTTTGTACGACTTTTACTCAAACTATATCATTGGGGTATATCCAGAGCCGCCGGAGACCTGCTGCGTATCTAAACCAACTCCCCCATCGACAACTCCTACACCACCATCAAGAACTACTCCACGAACACCGCATACGGTGACACCACCATCTGGTACGACCGAGACGATAACGCTCACTCCAGGCACGCCCACAATGACCCCTAATGCCACGACGACGCCAACGCCCTCTACCACGTCTTCCACTGATACGACCACCACATCCATGACGCAGACTAGCACATCGACCACCCCGAACCATACAACGACGAGTGGGACACTCACTCCACCAACAAGGTCGTCGACCACATCGCGGTGGCCCACGACGACTCCTCCCACGCCAAACACGACCGTGACACCACCGAACCCTCCAACCAACACGACGATGACACCACCGCCGCCACCAGCGCCACCCTGTAATACGACCTCCACCACCACTTCGACTCCGCCCAACACCACGACAACAGCCACTCCACCACCCGTGACGGTACCAACGGGCTCGACCACACCGTCGTTACCACCAACCACCGGGACCGATACAAACCCACCACCTAGCCGCACTTCGACACCGTCGATTCCAAGCACCACCGGAACGGAGACATATCCGCCACCTAGCAGTACTAAGACACCGCCAACTGAAAGTACCACCGGAACGGGAACGTATCCTCCTCCCATTAACACCACGACACCCCCGGTTCCATCAACCACCGGGACAGGGACATATCCGCCACCCAGCCGCACAACTACACCGTCGATTCCGTCTACCACCGGGACGTTAACATATCCGCCTGCTTCCAGTACCACCACACCGCCGACTCCCAGTACCACCGGAACTGGGACATATCCACCACCTGAAAACACCACGACACCGTCGATTCCGTCTACCACCGGGACGTTAACATATCCGCCTCCTTCCAGTACCACCACATGGCCAACTCCCAGTACCACCGGAACAGGGACATATCCACCACCCTCCAACACAACCACACCTTCCCTACCACCCACTACCGGAACGGGGACATATCCATCACCCAGCAGTACCACGACACCGTCGATTCCGTCTACCACCGGAACAGGAACATATCCACCGCCTATCCCCACTACGACTCCATCGGTTTCCACTACCACTGGAACGGTGACATACACGCCACCAACGGTAACGTTTACGCCAAATAGCACCACGTGGTACACAACCACGCCGACCGATGTTCCTCCAGTCAGTACGCCAAACATAACCGTTAAGCCGTGCAATGACACCCCTCCGAATCCTCCTTTGCCGCTGTTCCCCAGTTGTGGTAGGTCGTTGGATCCGACGTACAATCCCGCAGTCGGCTGTTTTATTGTGGACATCGGACACTACATTTCGCCATCCTGTGACCCAGACCCGCTCCTGGACACCTTTAACAGCCAGGGCTACTCATCGCGATGGAGAAAAACCGTGGGGTTCCCTGCCGGCGTGATTATCAACGCCACTATGGTGTTGACGGTTTCCAGCGGTGTATTGTATGTCTCATGATGCCGTTTCCGCTAAGTTCGGCTTTCATGCATGAACGGTTACACGGTTATAAACTGTGCTTTCTACATAACTAACGCTTTCCTGTGGTACAGGCGTGACCCGAAAACGCGCAAGGCCGAGCCTAATCTTGGAGTGAGGGTTGCTGATTCCCCAATGGACCCCAAGGCGCAGTACAGCGCGGTTAAAAGAATCTTTTTTCAAGATGACGACCAGCTGCGCACAACCAACCGCTACCCCGATCGTCTATTGGTCCTGCTGGAGCTCGAACAGCCTCTCAATATGCAGCGGGCCTGCCCGGTGTGCTTCTCCGATAGGCGGCAGGATATACCTCTCTCAGATGCCAGTTACTATCGGGACCACGCCTACACCGGAAAGTGTGAACTGTACGGGTACATCGGCTGGTCGTGGAAGGACACACAATTTTTAAGTTATGAGAGTGTTCCACAAGCACCCTGGGATATCCGTTCTTGCATCGATAAACATACGGAACTCACGCAGCCTCTGCATGCCCGCTACCTCCACGGGCCCTCCCTGACGGGATTTTGCGCCGGTGGATCCACACGAAGCACGGGGTGTATGGTAAGGGAAGCATCTATGTTTCTTCACTGGCACATTGCATTAATTTGATTATTTCTGCCATATGCTGATGCACTGTTTATTTGCTTTTCAGTATGGAACTGGAGCGCCGTTGTAAGTACCGTAATGATAGCGCTTCATTGTAATAAGAATACAAAATCGTAAATCATAATAATAATATAATATCGAACCCGTCGACTGTCGAGTATCAGTACTATCGACCATAGCGATACATACGTAATAATGTACCGCAGGATAAGAAATAGCCGAAATTAGCCAGTCGGTCCGCAGTTCAAAATATTTAAATCATGATAAAATCTGCAACCCGGAACACGTACGCATACGCCCTCAGTACTGGGACTAAACAGAGAAGTGCATGTATGCGCGATATGCATTATAACGAAGCATTTACCTTTTTTCCAAGAGGAAGAAATTAACCGGTCGCCCAACGTACGACACGCTACTCACTAATTTTGTTCCCGAAATTACGTCTCCTTAAGCGAGAATATTGCACTCTCACAATTCTACGTAATTGTGAGTACATACTATTTTCGAAACTATGCAATAAAATTTAATTTTGTAATGCTGATGTGAAAAAGAGATGTGTTTTAGGATGTGTCGGGATAACGCAACAGCTACACCCCGATTGGTTGGTCTTCAGGTCGATGCGGGATGCTGGAGTAAGGTCACCTTGATTTCGCATATTATACAGTTCATGTTAGATTTTATAATATCGATTAGTCAATCTATTGCACTAGCAAGGGCTCGGAATATCGTAAATATGTATGTGTTGCCTGTGTTTTGCAGCGAACGAAGAATATGGAACAATCGTCGAAGATGTTATCGATACGCCAACCTTGGGCTGGATACAAATGGTCACTGACGGCATTGCTCCCAGCGTTCCCAAGCGACCGTGCGGAGATACCGGATAACAGGGATGCTAAGAACAGCAATCATTCGGGGTGCCTGTCAAAACTTAAACATTAGTACCTTGTGTCAGTACTGTCTTTGGTTTAAGCTAGCACATCGGCATCGTAATGCGAGGGACTTTTTAGCAGGAGCACGTTACTGGTTTATGTTCTTGAACTTATAGCTAAATTTTACTAATTATAGGTTAGTTAGTAGCGCTGGTTTTCTGGTAAGTATTTTAAAATGTCGATGCACACGTTTCGTGAACTTGTTTCTTCTCAACAAACTGTAATACAGTATCTCAGCAATCTGTTACTGGAAGCTTTCTTGGTGATACACAGAGAAACTTTCGACTCTGATACGAAGTCCTTAAACAGTAAGAAATAATTAATTTTATGTGTTTTACTATTATGGTAGTCCAGGTTTTCCCGAAATACTATTTTGTTATTTTGTATGTAACGGAAATGCATAGCAACAACAAGCGAATTATCAGACGAAGGAAGCTCTGCGTTCAACATTGTGGCTGGAGCAAGTTTAAGTACGTACTGTTCGTACCGTATGTATACGTCAGACATCTAATTATGCATATGACCTTTATATCATTAGCTAAGTATGTTATTCCTCTTCTTATCTTGAATACAATAGTACAATAGTAGCAATACCATAGTGCACGATCTGCCTCATTTTCTTTGGATTACAAAGCACAACAAGCTGCAAAATATTTTTTTGTTTATTACCTTCGAAACAGAAAAACTTTTCTGTTCGTTTCCCTGAATATTTCATTATGTTGGTGGACAACGCAAACAACGCCCTCCGCGATGCAAATGCGAGACTGGATTGCTAATTCTGCCTGCGACAGTGCTGCCGTGGTTCGTCACTTTTGGCAAGTATAGGCTTGACACCATGAGCTAACGCTATATCTACTGTAAGAGGAAATGAACTGTATTTATGCTCGCCGCATAAAGCGGAGGTCTACATTCTCTTGTAAATTACTCGTAGAAACGAGTCACCAAATGCATTTGCTGGCACAAGAAACTCTACCCTTTCGTGCAGTTTATTACGGTAGACAATGGGCAGTGACTGCCTACCATCATTTGCCGTTCCAAAACCAATGCCGACATTTTTCTGTGTCCACTGACTGCCCCCTGTATCTTTCCTTGCCTTTATTCGGAACGCATACGCTGCATTTTTTTAATCGCATGTCAGGCGCTTACTGCGGACGCAGTAAAGGCAAACCTGACTGGTTTCAGTTTTCAGATGATTTTCGAACATAACTGCGTCTTTTGCGGGTACCTGAGCGGACGCTTTGTCGGCGTCCTCTTTATTGCGATGAAGAGTTCATGTGTTGGTCCCGTATCCACCGCCATTTCTAGTTTTCCGCTCCTGCAATTCTGCTTTACGTTCACACGATAGTTGCATGGTTTAAATCAGCGCATTATCTTTATTTGCTCATGCACATTTAGCCATCCCATAAATCGACAGGTGTAAATTTTCAACTGAATTTCAGTAGTCCCCCGGAATCCGGATTGACTGATTAATATGATTGATTACTATGCGTATTAATTGAGTTTTCCACATAGTATATATGCGACACTTTTTTGAAGATTTGACACGGCACTGTGAAGGACGGGATCCCAGAGATGAGTGGAACTGCCATGCCTGTGGTACGACATCGTTGGCTGAATGCTCCGACAATGGCGCCAGCAGTTCCGTAGGTGCTACACTGTATATGGCACGTCTATGAAGCAGGGTTAGGTGCACAAGACGACGGATGCCAGCGTGACCTTTTGCGGTACAGCGGTAGTAATACATTATTGCTTCGCGCACGGGTAAACACGGGCATAGGGTGCGTGTTCCGGTGACCTTTTTGAGTCCGCTGCGTACCTCAGATGCTGGCAGCGTGCACGAGAAACTGTCACGGGTTTTGGCTGCGTGTAAGGGTTCTACTTCACATTTTAAATGTTTAATGAATATTTTTGAAGTCCACTTTCTAACTTTGTATATTTCATAAATTTTGATCCACACTTTACTCAGCAATGGTTGATTTTCACCCGCTTTGGATATCTATTTGTCATATATACAAATCGCGCTATACGAGGACCGATGGTCGCTGTGACCATGCCCTGCCCGACTGGATGCGGTAACCACCCGTACTGTCTGTATGAGCCATGTGCGTCGATTGGTTTTGCGTTTGCGCCATGATGCTAGTAGCGTTGTGTCCTAAAGCTAAACCCGGCCGATCATGGAAGTCTGGTCTTGGCAGGATATGGTCACAATAATCGTTTCCACCGATCATGCGTACGTCTGCTTTAGAGATTTTTAGATTTTTAGTTTTAGTTTAGATTTTTAGTTTAGTTAGTGAGCTTTTGTCAACCCTGCCGGTGGCAGGAGGGAATGGTGTGATGTTCATGACTTCGAATGCGGCCATCCGGTGCCCTTGCATTATTTCCGGTTGCTATTTTACATCGAAAAAGCATTGCATAGATCTAATAAGATAAACAACAAAATTACAGTCATTACAGCAAAATTTTGTTTAATTTTCACTCCGTCCATTGTTCCCACTCCCAAGAATAGAGGCCGCATTTCCACGTTGAATCTCCAGCAATAGACTCTGGCGCAGGAATTCATGCGTACGGCATTCTCCTGTATGCTGTAGAATTCTCTTGTCCAACTCTCTGACAATGGCGATTGCCGATGGTCCCCAAGGGCCCATTGTCTCAAAAAGTAATCGGTCAACAAATGTATCGCCCTTCCAAATAAGAATAAAGGTGGAATTTTTTTTCCCGCTTGTACCACCGCTGATGCAGCGGTAAGCTTACTGTAATATCTGTCGACACACGTTACATCCCAAGCGAGGCATATCCCCAAGCGAAACGAGTATTTCCAATTTAAATATTGCCGTCTCCGGTTAAGCCCGTAAATAAACGTGTTGGCCATTGCGATAGCATCGAGGTATTCAGCGCTCATCTGCTTTTAACACAAATGCTTTGGGTTTGCGCAGTGCTTATAAAATACAAAGTGCTTTGGCTACAGCAGAATTAGTTGGATCACTCATAACCTTTGGCGATAGCGCCTGTACAGCCACTGTTAAGCATAATTTATAAATTATGACCTACTTATTATTCGTCAGCGTCTTATGGACCTTCGGCTGTCAAATCCCTGTCGCTGATTGACTCACAGGTTATCTGACAACATTATAACAGGTGAAGATGAGGCAAAGTCAGTGCAACCTGACAGCGGGATGTTTGACGTGATATTACGATCGCGCAGGTCAGTAACGGACAGCACGGAAGCCCAATGCCAGACACTAACCGTAGTGCCTCACAGACTGTCGGGGCAATATATGAAGGAGACGGGAACTGGGTGCTGGAGCAGGGCTGCGGACATGGTTTGGGCCAGACCAGTACCATACCGCCGGGATTCTTGCCCCCGTCCACGATCTGTAATATGGATTATCCATTTGATTCACAGCACACCTTTACCCACTGCTGCTACAAAGTATCTGTCAGTGAATATCGCTGCTACTGCCTCAATGAAGATACTACGGCAGACCAGATCACATCCACATACGCATGCAATTTCCGTGGATTGTACATTAATTTCCTGCAACTGGCCATCTACAAATTATATCAGGATCGACCAATCGGACAGTGGGTTAGTCAACGCTGGTGGTTTTGGGAACTGTTATAAAGCTGGTACAAGTAATTCGATTCTGAAGCCAACGTTGATCGCACAAACCACGCTGAAAGCCTTGTAAATTTCTTTTGCTGTTTTTCGAGTCTGAAATGTCGATCTGCAGTGACCGGTATGTGCTGCAGTTTAGTTTTATTCCCAGTCCAACGACCACCATAACGAGCACCATAACGAGCACAACAACGAGCAGCACAACGAGCAGTACGGCGAGTACTACGACGTGCATCGCAAAGAGCACCACAACGAGCACTACGACGACCACAACGATGAAACCATTAACCACAACTATAACAACTACTACTGCGATGGAAACCAGCACGATCACCACCGAACCAACGACAACCACCACGGCACGTTCACTACATCCACAATAACGCCTCCGACGACAAGCAAAGCATCAATCATGCCCTCCAGCACCAGGGCCGAACCAACGACAACCTCTACAACACCAACCACAATCGCCATGCCCACCATAGTGGTCACGTCAACAACCGCGGCGACTTCTACAGCGACGTTAACGCCAGAGTAAGCCAAACCTCGTGATATCGGCATCGAGTGGGTCATAGTTTATGTGTGTAAAAAGGTTTTATCGACCGAAGCGTAGCGAAGGTCTTCTATGTTCAGTGATAATGGAAATGTGGTGTCCGTCCGTCGGTCACCGCCACTAAATGCACACATGCGCAATTGCCTTTTCTATCGAATGAACACATGCGCCGTGGCCGTATATACTCCCACCTTACGTAACTGGCGGTATCCGTCGGTCGGTCACCACATATAAAATAGGAAGGGCCAGTGGCCGTTTATACTCACGGATATTACGAGCCGTGGTGTCATTTCTTAGGTACCGATGCCCTTTGGTGCCTTACTGTTAGCTGTATGTATGCAATGGTCAGTATTATCACCATGCACATATCAAATAATTTGGGAAAAATGCGAAAGTAGCAATATCAATGGCCAGAAATATATCAGTAGCCGTTCCGTAGTCCGACTAGGAGGCGGCTATTGCAAACTGCCGCATTTTTCGCAAATTTGCGTATTTCGCTAATTCTACTTTTGAATGCTGCACTTTAGCCGGTCGATGATAAAGCACTACCTGCCACCTGGTCTGGTGTATTGGTCGATATGCGATGTATTTTTTTCGGCGAAATAAAAGCAAGGCAAAATTAGACAAGTTGCCGCTTTTATTATACATACTACTGTAGATACACTTTTAAAACTGCTGCTTAACAATAGCCTCTGTTACTGGCACAGCCATCCGCTATGTCAAAAAACAGTTCTTCGTATTGTGGTCCAAGGATGCCGGCGTTAGGGGATTTTCAAAATTTGCCACTGAGACTGGGTGTAATGGCCTTCGAAAACTCTTTCCATACCGTCCCCTTTTACCAAGACCAGCCCGTCGTCAAAGAGCCAACCTTTGGCAAGAAAGGTGGAACACGAAGCGGAAATCATGGTTTCTGCAATAATCCATTACCTGTCTGCTGAATACCTAACCTGCCACAGCGTTCACAATGCATAACCAAGACGAAAAACAAAAACATTCATCGAAGATTAATCCTTATTTACTTATCCTTAATAATCCTTAATAATAGAAAAATTACTTCTGATTAAAATTATCGGTGCGAAATGAGAAGCATTGTTACCGAAAAGCTTACGATCGTGTGTGTGGCAATAAGTAGCCCATTGTTTGAGATCCGAAATGTGAGTCCAGCATGAATAACATTAATGCCACAGCTAAAACATTGGCCAGGCAAAATTTATGCAGTTTTAGGTACAACGAAGTGTTTAATCTGTACGGGCGGTTTTACCGGTTATAGATTTTTTATGTGCTTCGTCCACCTTAGTAAAGTGGATGTTACGAAGTACAGCGAAAATCTATAACGAGTAAAACCACCCGGCAATGCCAAACTTAGAAATGTCGTATTTGGCACTATTTACAGTACTTTAGCCTGCAGAGCTGCAGCAAAATTGTTAAGTCACCTTACTAATTTGCGGCAGCTCTGCAGGACACAAAGTACCGCAAATAGTTCTAAATCGAAAGTTGCAAAAATCGTATAATGGACGTATAGCGCAAGCGACGTGATTACATATCATATAATCATGCTACGTTTCGGTCATGCAGTGCCCGCCTAAAGCGAGTGCACTTTCCTAGTTACCATATTCCCAGATCTAATGCCTGCCGTAAAAGAAATAAGCATCCAAGGACGCTGTGGGTAAACTATAGCTGAAGTGATACTCTTGCCTTTTTCAGTACACCCGAAACATTACCCGGTGGGGCATTTCTTCTTCATTAACATTTCCTGTCGTAACGATCAATAAATGGTTACCCTGTTTTGCATTGTGGGGCAGAGGCGCCTGAATATCAAGTCCGAGACGCTGATTCAGCCAAGGCGCCCACATACGGTAAGGCGACTTCATGCTAACGCTGCCATCTTCTTTGTGGGAGCCGAAAATTCAATGAATATGACCTTTACAGTGCGATACAGTCTGCATACGAATGGCACGACTAAAGTACCAGGTACTTACAATAAGAATAAATAAATTGTTATCGTTCAATCCGCGACTGAACAATATAAATGCTTTAGTCAAACATCAGCGTGGAGCGGCGCCTAGCTTAACATCGATTGTTCTCATTTTTGCGCTGATTGCATGATTGCATAGAACATTCAGTTTTGTTGTTGAATTTGTTTTGAACAGGTTGCATTACCCCGGCGCTGTCAATTGGTATCTCCGTGGGCACTACGGTAAGACCGCTAAGATCGCTTGAAATCTATACACGATAAAGGTGATGCGTAATTAAGACATGCTTGTATGTTACAGCTGTTCGTTGTCGCCGTGATTGCCTTAACACACTGGTGCTATAAAAAAAGTTAAGATAACGACACTCGCAGCCGGATGGAGATGCCGTGCACATCAACGTTGTGGGCGTTTACCGGCCGCTGCCAAAATGGAACTTGATTACGTGGTCAACGTCACCAGGGAGGCAAAAGCGTATGCGCAGCCAGGAGGAAATTGTTGGTTTTACCTATGTTATGCATATTTCTTATTGTGTGTTTATATTTATTTTCTCGTTTACTTCCTTACAGATACGTGTAAAATTTTATTTGCAGTTATTTCTTTCTCTAATGCCGTATTTGATATTGTGAAGTGTGGACAGATTTTATTTGTCAGAAATAACAATCCTGTTTCCTTTTTGCGTTGTGAAGCACAACATCGCCCACCTGGCGTAGACATAAGAAAACTTTCTTTTGAACGTTTCTTTTTGGCCTAATAAAACTTTTGCAAGTCTAAAACTCTGGTTTAACGAATTGAATTATAGTGAGCAGAATAATCTTAAGTTTGTATCTATGTATTTACATTTCGAAAGGTCACCAACTGCGACTGGGATTTTCTTCCGTTTGCTACAGTACAATATCCAAATATTATTATTGAATTTAAATGACGTACAAGAAGGAACTGTGCCGATGCCGTGAAACAGCTGGAGACAGGTTTAATGCGCTGGCTGAAACACCTATCGCATTCAGACAAATCGGCAGTCGATTGTCGCAACCTCGATGCCATCCTTCGCGGCTGGCATGAGCTCAAACGGATAGGATTACATCGGTTCAGCAAGTAGGAACAGACACTTCAATTTTTGCTCTAGAGTTTCGGAAACCGTCATCTTGACGCTAGCACTGTAAGCAGAGCAATATCTGGTTAAATTATGATCCTAAAACAAATTAGGTTGTTTTGGCGAACAGGCTGAATCTGATTATTTTTTGATAAAATTGGCTCGGAACATAGGTTCGGTCTGCTAGGAGGATTTTCAGAAGGAAAACCTAAAAGGCTAAGACAGTGTATATGTTAAAAGGAAGTTACAGGTTTATTGCGAACCAGAGACTAGTCTGAAAAAGTAGACTCAGTAGAGTGTTATTTCTGCTAACGAGCCCTAGCAACAATAACAAAATCACGCCGTGAAGTGATTAAGTATTAGCTTTACCGTGAGTACTTCCATAGCCATTGCCTATTACGAATCCATATTATTATCATGTTCAATATGAATCAAAAATAATTAGTAATAATATTGACCTCTCCTTGGTTTGCAGTACAACAAAGTTCTTTTTTAAATAGCCAGGCACGGAAACTAGACACGGCCTGTTCACAAAAAAATTCCTTATGTCTGCGCCAAGTGGGCGATGTCGTGCTGCACGATTTAAAAGGGAGACTGGATTGTTATGTTTGCCTGCAGTAATCCTGCCGTGGTTCGTTATTCTGGGCAAGTAAGTATAGGCGTAGTTGAACGGGCTTATACAGATATTTATCTCATGCGCGACCAAAATCAATTTTTGTGTATTCGTGTCGCCATACAAACGTACGTCTGTCTTGGGTTTTTGTATAAACCTGGAACGCAACATATGTTTGTAAAACAGTGATTGATATATAAGTGTAACCTTGCGACAGCACAATCACTTTGCACAGCATCCTACAACAATTCATGATTTGCAGGTTTAGCCCGGCATTGTGAAGCGGGTTGTTCCCCTTCTCCCCAGGTCGAATGGAAGTGCGAAGTTTGCGGTACGCCGTCGACGGCAGCCTGCTCCGACGGGGGCGCCATCAGTTCGGTAAACCTTATTAACCGCCCTTAAACTATGAGTAATGATGCGGTGGAGTCAACCGCAATTTGCACGATCAGGTGTTTACGCTGATCATAGCAGCGTCCAGGCATTGTAAGAAGCAGGTTTCTTCAACACGACGGTACCGCCAATCTTTGGGAAGGTTTTTTTTCTTTGGAATATACTGTACCGGGACATGAGAAATATCGATGGTGTTAACCTTTGCAGTTTCCGTGCTTATGCGAAATGCATCGGCCGTCGCATCCGTTCTGAGACACAACGAAATTTTACAATGCTAACCATTCTTACAGATGATGATGAAAGGCAACTGCGATCTCGGTGCGGGATGTTTGACAAGATATTTTGACCGAGCAGGTCGGTAACGAGAAAATGCCAAACAACGCCGATTAACTTGGTCGGGTGGCTTTAATCGTAACGCCCCATATATCACGACCCACAATGTAGGAGATGGAAACTGGGTGCTGGAAAAGGGCTGCGGACGTGCGCTGAATGAGACCAGTACCACACCGCCGGGATTGTGGCCTTCGGCCAGCGTCTGTGATCCATATTATGTAAACTTCGACAAATTAGTTATTCCGACTCCCCTTTAAGTTCGACTATATATACTGTATTACGATTTCCGGCTAAGGTTAGCAACTGCTAGCTTGTTAGCTGCACTCGGTCCAACTGCTGTTTGAATTTTTATGGGTCGGTGTACATGGTGTACGTACTGACTTATGTCAATCAACAGAATAATTCGCAAAGCAGTTGGATCGAGTGCAGCTACTAACTTGTAATCTTGCACATTATGCTCATTATTATGAGCCATATACATGTATCAGGGCTTCCTGTTAGTTAGAACGTCTGAGAAACTGCAAGTGGTAGCGTAACCGCGAACAGTTTCCCAAAGACGGTTGTCCATGCTGCCAGCACTAACAAAATGCAAGATTTATCGCAGTATTCGAAATTAAAGGGCAGTCGGTTTTACTAATTTTTCGAAGTATGGCTCCTCCATCTGGAATAACTGCTGCTACAAAGTATCGGCCAGTGAATACCGCTGCTACTGCCAAGATGCGTATTCTTCTGATTGGAGATCGTGTACATACCCATGCAATCTGCAAGGATTATACAGTAATTTCCTCCAACTGGCCACCTACAAGATGTATCAGGATAAACCAATTGGAAAATGGGTTAGTAGTGGTCATAATGGTCAATCCTTGTAATATCTACCAGCTTGTAAAGCTGTCATCCAGAAATCACAGTTCTCGCATGAAATGATGAGTCCACTTGCATTCTTGCACAGCATTACCGCTGTTTTGAGCTGGCCTTTGCACGGCTGGTGGATAAAAGGTTGTTATACGACAGTTATGTAAAACGTAAATATAGTATGTTACTAATTCCGCTGTACGAGGACATTTGGGTGCTGTGAACATACCCTGCACGATTAGGCTGCGATGAACAGCTGGTTAGCCGTAGCTCGCAACGCTACAGTCTGAATGCAAACGGCTATAAATTTAGCCGGCTGTTCATCGCAGCCTAATCGTGCAGGGTATGTTCACAGCACCCAAATGTCCTCGTATACTATCAGTATTTAGTGGCTTCTTCATAGCTTATCCGTTCCAATCACGATTTTCCCCAAAGAACGCCCACACGTGGCATAAAAATTCACAGTTGATTTTGCTCTGGTTTAAAAGCGCTTCGCAAGCGCAGTAATTACCAGCGTGTGTGCAGCGATCTCCATCTATATAATATACTCTCTGTGTTGCAGTTTAGTTTTGAGCCGAGTCCCACGTCAACCACAACGACGACGACAACTACAACAACCACCACAACGACCACACCAACCACTACGACGACAACAACGACACCGACCACGACAACAACCACCACGCCTACGACAACGACCACGCCCACTACGACGACAACAACGACACCGACCACGACAACAACCACCACGCCAACGACAACGCCCACGACAACGACCGCGCCCACTACGACGACAACAACGACACCGACCACGACAACAACCACCACGCCAACGACAACGCCCACGACAACGACCGCGCCCCCTACGACGACAACAACGACACCGACCACGACAACAACCACCACGCCTACGACAACGACCACACCCACCACGACGACAACAACGACACCTACCACGACAACAACGACCACGCCCACTACAACAACCCCTACCACGACTACAACGCCCACTTCGACCACAACGCCCACGAGGACACTCACGCCCACTGCGACAACCACGACTATATATCAGCGACAACCAGCGACATCAATGCCGGAGTACGCAAAAAGTTTTTAGAACTGCCATACTATCGGGTTGTAATATAGGAGGGGATGTCAATAGCACATCCAGATCATCCCTGTACTTGCTGCCGGTTGGAGTATGACGTAGCGGCAGTACATATGGCTAAATCTTGCGCGGTGCATAAGCGCCATGTATAGCCACAACGTCGTACTCCAGTCGGCTGACGACAGCAAGTGCAGGGATTATTTAGATGCATTATTTACCTGATGGCATCCCCTCGTATATGTACCTTTCGTATCGATATTCGCAGGTCTTACGCCCGTCGTACAAGGAGGGATTAGCGCAACTTAAAACGTGACTGAGAAATTATTTTTTTACTGTGTCACCTTCGTTTTCAGAACCTCGGAAACAACACCCGGTGAGATGGTCCTCTGGCTTTTTAATCAACCTTTTGTTACGACTTATGACGACTGGTTAAACTGGTTAAACTCATTCGTCGTTGTGCAACGGATGCATGCTGTTTTCATTCCGTACTAGTCTTTGTACGCAGGTAAAACCGCCCAGAGCAGATATGAACATTTCGCTCCCACAACTGCGTAAGTTTTTCCCGGACAGTTCTTTAGCTGGGGCAGTAAAGTTTTTCATGTTGGAATCACATTTCGAATTTCAAAAAGTTTATGAGTTTCCTAAAGCAACACACACATGGCAACTTTTCAATAATGTTTCTCATTTCGCAAAAATCATTCTAACCAGAAGTAATTTTCCTTTTATAAGAACTGTTTTTCGACGAATATTTTGTTTCGTCATGGTGATGCATTGTCAACGCTGGCGGCAATTTAGGTGTTTATATGTTAAGGCATAATATTACAAGCCGAGCAGGGATGAATATGGGCTCACGATTAGTGGTAAATTTAATTCGTGTGAACTTTCACATGCATTGTAATGCAACTTTGTCAGAATAAAAATATTGTATTAAATTCGAATTCAGCGAGAGCAGTGGGAAAATTAGAGTAGTCATTTATGAAATTTGGCCTGTTAAAAGGACAGTCTGTGATACGTTTGCGGTTTACTTGTGTTAGGTTTCTTCGCTTCATCCATTTTAGGGATACCAATGGGGCATCGGGTTGATGTATTCAGTATTGGTAGAAACAGGTCGTTGAAATTCTTAATGCAGCTTTTAACTTTAGGTTAGGGACGTGTTCTCTGAGCAATAACCGGAAGCACAGTGGTCGTAAGACTCGTAACTACTGTATACTGTTGTCCCTGTCATTTTGCAGCGCCTTTTGCAGTGCACCACTATGCCCGTGGTTACAAAGCAGCCCATGTTAGCCCTATGGCATCCATGGTAACAAGTATTTGAGTGACCACTGGGCGTAACAAAATGAAGTTGACAAAGCGCCAACAGCCCAGGAACACTTCCTGTAGTCTAAAGATTCTGTTGCACTTTAAATCAGCAAAATCGAGTGATTACAAGCTGAGATCACTGGCCGGGAAAAAGAGGGGCCGAAATCCTGGCACATATAATTAGTATTCATATAACTAAACCTTAAGGTATTCCATCGAGCTTGCACTTTGTACGATGACGTCACGGTCGATGAAGCGCACTGTGCGAAAAGTGGTTAACCCCTGCGGCTTTTGTGTTTATAAAAACTTTCAAATTGGCCCAATCTGTTCATACTATGGCTCAAAAAATGCAGAAAAAAATTTGAAGTTTGGGAAGTGAAGGTTGACAAGTAAATAATGTCAGGAAAATGAGACGTTTACGATTAAAGTAAATCTTGTTTACCATGAAGGTCTATGAGGCAGTTTGCCATAGACCACTATGCTGACCAAAAATCAGTTCTTTTGATTAAAATTAAATTGTTTGATGCCTTTGTTTGACTGGTCAAATTTTAATTGTTTTGTTTTGTTTGGCTGATCTCGCTTCGTTTGATCACAAGTCAAAAATCGAAGATTTTCGATCAGCAGGGCAAACCACCACATAGACCTCTATGCTAATGATAAGAACGTAAATCTTAAAATTTTCATTTTCCTGACAAACGTTTCCCTTGCCGACTTTCACTTCCCAAACTTCAAATTGTTTTCTGCATTCTTTAGCCATAACACGAAGGAACTGCATGAATTTGATAGGTTTAATCAACACCGAACCCGCAGTGGTTGCCCACTGCGTTGCCCAGTGCGTCTATCATAACGTGACGTCATGCAAGTCGATAGAATACCATAAGGTTTAGTAATATTATGGTTAAGGTAATAGATTATGGCAATTACCGGTCACAGTCGCAAATTTCCATACACACCACATTTTCCATATTCGCTGAACATAGATGACCTTCGCTACGCTTCGGTCGATAATGTTATGTCTCTATGTGCACTGAACTTGAGCCGGCGATACAACTAGAGGCCGATGCGGGTGTGAAACTGCACTGTTTGGTTAAAAAAGCCGCCTTACACAAATTTTGTAAAGGCCTTTTTTTTATTTTATAAAGCCGCCTTACACAAATTTTATAATTATCTATTTAGTAACATACTTGCACAAGCATAACACATTTGCCAATTGCACTTTTGCAAGCAACTGTACTTATTTTTGCATAGTATTCTATTTTCCAAACAACAGTCAACCCAAAACTTTTAACAATCAGTAGTAGTCATCTCAGTTTTTACTTGTGCAGTCAAAGGGTTAACTTGATAATCGATGACTGCCGTTTCACTTTGTGCCGTTTGTACAGAGTTGTAAGCCTGCACGTGTATTGTGTAATATTCATATCAGGTTTTTTGGAAATTTAGGCACCCGTTTGAACATGTGTTAAAAGCAATTCGAATATATTGGGATGCAAATGATGGCGCTAATTACGGAATTTAAATGATGATGTTAACAATCAAAAGTTATCATCATTATTACAGATCTATTTAGTGAAGACTGACGGACGCTATCGGCTTTTCAATGGCTCATATCAAAGTCTTATGGTGTACTTTTTTTACCGAATCACACCGTGAGCATCTATCGCCGGTATATTTACCTGCATTTTATAATTATGCAGCTGCGTTAAGATCGGCGTCCTTTTGATCTGTTGGAAATTGTTGTGTGATTGTAATTTGTACCGTGACCTTTACCATCGCGTAAAGGTCCAGACGGTGCGGAATAAATCTGATAGTAGAGTAGATCGTCACTTTATTGTTGTCTTGGCACCAAACGGTCTCCATTAGGCGGTTAAGGTTTTTGCGTTACAATATTAGACGTACACCGCTCATCCCAAATGATTGCAAATTGCAACGCGGGAGCAGAGTACTCTGTAGTTTAGCTCTCGAATTCACTCTTTTTGCACCACCGTTACGCCATTGCTGATCGAGCTGTGCATGCCGGTGAGTCTAATTCGTTGAGAAAATTAATACGGCTTTGCAACTCTTTTCTTTGTACGGACCTAATTCATCTACGTATTTGCAATTGAATACAACTGATACCATCGCGTTTTTATTTACAACCTGACAGTACAATACAATACAATACAATGGAACAGTACAGTAAACGGTGACACCGTGTCGTACATCAGTACTTCATCATATGACACACATCAGTATTTTCCTCCTTATTTATTGAACGCTGTGCCACGTGTTTTCTGGCACAAGCCATATTTTATTGCGTGCCAGAGGAATAATACTCCAGGTTTTATCCCTTGCCTTGCCAGTGGCAACGCCACACGCACTTGCCAGTGCCAGGTTTACGACCTGCCACAGTGGCAGGGTGTAAACCTGGCACTGGCAAGTGTATTGCATACGAAGCAGCAGTAACCATACTGTAGTGTTGTGGCCATGGCCAACGTGAAAGAGCAACCAGTGCACCAACTGGTAATACCACCGTACCTCTGTACAATACGCGTATTTAAAAACAGGCTCGTATACGCACTGTGATCTCACGACTCACGTACAGTACTCGGATGTCAGCAGCATCAAGCCTGGTTTATTTATTTTCCTACCACAAAGTTTGTTTTTTCGTGAACAAAGTGAATCGTCTGATTCATTTATTACAAAATGTGCTCGACTACTTAGCTCGGAAGATACTAGTACATTTGGCTGGCTAGGAAGAATCTAGAAGAAACCTGAGATAATGAAAATAAGGGAATCATTACAATTTGTTTGTGACCGAGTGACTAGCAGTAGTAGTTTAATAAGTACAAGTACTGGCCGCGCTAGCGCGCGACCAGTTGTGTTTGAGGTATGGAAGAATAAGGAAAACCACAAAATATGCAGCATTTGATTAATCATATTTTAATACCTACTAGGAAAAAGCACCGAACTGTGCATTGGTTGACCGGAGGGCAGCTCATATTAGGGTTAAAGACCGAAAGTGTCTGTAGCGGCTAATTTGGAAAAGTTTGTTTTTCAATGGGCAGAGCAGAAAATAACACAACAGATGCAGTGTGGTAGCATGTCCGAATGTGGATGTGTTACCGACCAAAACTTTCGGACTTCAAAGACGTCCAGTGGACGTTTAGTCGGTAAACCAACAAGAAGTTATGTGGCCAAAAGCACGTCGCCCAAAAGTGGTTCGTAACTGGCACAGGGGTATGGTATTTTTGCTCCGTTCCCCCTATGGCCAAAAGGTGGAACCAGCTAGCCAAATTAGCTACCAGGTTAAAGCATGGAAAAGCATGATTTCTGGGTAATCCATACCTTTAAAAAAATACCGCAACCGTGGGTAGCGTTGCACCTAAAATTCAGCAAAAAGGCAGAAAGAAATATTATTAGAGTGGGAGTGTTGAAATTTTTGGCTGGTATGGGAGCCGTGATCTCGAGTGTTAGAATAGGCGTCCGGTAAGAAGGCGGTAGTGCACCCCGATATATCGACGTACTGTACATACCAGTACGTTTTCTATACAGGCTGCCGTTCAGTTTACTAAGGCAGTCAGGTCACCATTGTCAGATAGGTAGTTACCATTACACTTCGACATTTATTTGGCTCGATACCCTTCGACAGCAGTGCCCTACAGCTGAACATTAAGGAAATGCAATTCCCCATTCCGTACGCTAAATGCCACATCCCGGCAATATCAAAGCTTGAGCTGCATCGGCCAAAGTTTTTCATATTGTGTTTTTGTAAATTTAGCTTGTTACCGCCTCGGTAACGAACTTAATACACTGACGGCATGCAGAAGGCCGCAGATTAACTTGAAAATCAGCTTATCTGAAATGTGTCGGACCTGGGTATCACCATTAGGGCCTAGGGTTGTCAGTGCCACTTCGTGACTTCGGTGTTGTTGGCATACGGCCGCAAAACATTTTTCCGAGACGGGGAATGGGAGTGCGATTTTTGCCGGTCAGATGCATACACACGGGCATGCCGCGAGGCGAATGCTTGCAAGTGAGGCGCTGAGGCCTTTGTGTGGTTGTTCACTTTTTCAGCCAACCGCATTTTGGGGAAAAAATTGCAGAATTTCGACTGTATGCAAAAATCCGGTACTGGTGTCACCAACGCCTTGGCAAGCTGGCGGCAGCCTTTGGTGGTTTAAGAAAACAGTGGAGATGGGACGTGTGGTTGCAGTAGCTAAAATATGCAGTGATGGATTGCCAATAGCCACTCGATCATCACAGAAGACATGTCCGCTTTTAGGTTTAAAAAATCTTTATTTTTACGTATTTGGGATGTCGATGCATGCCGTCGTATTCATGATCTTTGGCGTAATTACAATGCTTCTCAATACAGCAGTGTACATATATACACAGCGCACATCCGCTCATAATCCCGTATTCACCAGAGAGCAGAACTATCACGTCAGTCATCGAGCAGAACTATTACGTCATTTTCTACTTCCGTAACAAACAGACGGACAGACAGACAGACATACACTTTTTCATTTCGCCTGAATTAGAGGACCTTCGCTGCGCTCCGGTCGAAAAACGCAAAAAATTGTGAGCCCAACCCAAAGAATCTAGCGGAGAAACATCTCGAAAAAATTAAAAAGCGCAGCTGTGCCCAGCTACGTCCAGCCAGTTACAAATGTTCTGTGAGCCGTTTAGCTTTTCTTTCTGGGCCGAGCAAAAATATATTTTGATGTTTAGATATCCAAACATTCATATATCGAGAAATTAATAACTGAAAGTTTAGAAACTCGGGACCGCAGAATATTGGAAATATCGGCCCCGCGCAGCGGGGCCGAGTAAAAATGTATTTAGACACTTAAATATCTAAGCATTTATATGTTTTAAAAGTTTAGAAACTCTGGAGCGCAAAATATTGGACGTATCGGCCCCGCGCAGCGGGGCCGAGTAAAAATATATTTAGATATTTAGGTATCTGAACCATGACAGGTTGAGGTATTTCAGATAACTAAATATTTTGAAAATTAATTTTAAAACTCTAGGCCGACTAGAAACATTATTTTAGAGATGTTTCGTACGTACTTATTTAAAAGTATTCACTTATTTCACTTAACAATAAAGAGGCAAAACTAGAATACTGTACTTACAAGTATCGGTCGCGCTAGCGCGCGACCAGTTGTGTTCAAGGTATGGAAGAACGAAAAAAATACAAAATCTACTTCGTACAGCAATAAAAATGATTTTGAGAAATATTTCAAATATGAAACCCCAGCTTGGCCAGCTACGAAAATCTTTTAACTTGTAGAAATGCGGACAGTTTTCAAGCTTTCCGGTAAAATTCGACCAGTGTTATAAAAACTGTGAAAGCCTCAGCAATTTTTCTTTTTGTTTGCATTTTTCAAGGTTTTTTTTCACGTTTTTAATGTAACTTTATATTGCCGATATAACGAACTGAAAACTTGAATTTTTTGTACGACCGATAATATCTAAACGGTGATTAAATGAATGGAGTGGTGGGATCACTTACACAATGCTCACAAAAACCATTAAGCCGATATTTTAGCGCAGAATTAATGGAAACTTGTGAGAAACAATTAACGGTTGCCCAAGGTGACCTGGGAGGCTGCATCTTTAGACTTTAGCTACTAAGTAATTGTAAGATTTTCAGCCATTCAATCAAGCTCGTGAGTATATATCAAAATATCATTTATATCCATGATAAGTTAAATACATATTTATTAGATTTTGAGCTTGAGGTTAGTGAATACCCAAGCTACTGCCAGTATCACAGAGCTGCTATGTGAGTGAATACGGTAAACGGGCCGCGGGCTGGCTTTTAGATATTTAGAAATTACATATAAATTAGACAATTCAGACCGTGAGATAATGAGGTACTCAGATTTCTAGATATTTTTAAGTTTTGAAACTTTGGAGGCTCAAAAAATTAGAGGTAACGGCCCCGATGCGCGGCGCCGAGTCGAAATATTTAGAAATATTTAGAAATTCTTGAAATGTAAAAGCTTTGGAGCCGACTTTCGAACAATTTATAGTTATTTTGAGGTATTCAAACAGATTTAAAAACATCTTAAAGGTTTCAAGAATTAAAAAAAATTTATAAGTTTGTGATTGACAATTTTAAATAACTATAGTTTAGGTTAACGGTTTACGTAACTATAGTTTGGTTTACGTTGCTAAGTTGTGAAACTTGTATTTGCTCATTCGAGACGTTTCTAGAATTTACTGGAAATTTCTATGAATTTTAAACGCTAAGTACTGAAAGTTTGAAAGGATTTTTCAAAACGTTCCGGAAACCAAAATTTTTTTCCAAGCTGCAGATAGGAAGCTTTAGAAGATGGTGGATTTTATAAAATAATCAAAAGCTTCACAAATGGAATCTCGAATTAGGAGATAATTTCCAAAACTAATGACCTTTAAGTACTAACAACCAACCAACTACAGCTTCTAAAAATCTTTTTAGACCTTCTCCAAAACTTGAGATTTTTTAAAAGATATAGGTAGGAACGTTTGCGCGATGCTCTATTTTATAAAATTATCACCTTATTAAAAAAATCAATCTTGATTTAGGAGATAATTTCCAAAAAATAAGGACGTATGGATATATGAATCTATTGATAATTATTCGCATTGTTTATATGTTGCTAAGTTGCAAATCTGTATCTTTTGATCATTCCTGGTGTTTCAAGACGTGTCCACATACTTAACGGCTTAAGCACTGTATTGAAAATCTAAAAACTTTTTTAAAACGTTACGAAAGACTAAACAAATTTTTTCAAACTGTAGGTGACCCCCGTACATGGATGTTAGATTTTTTAAAAATATGAAAGATAGAGAAATGTTAACTTTGAATTAGAAGATAATTTCCGGAAAAAAAAGGCGTAAGAGTATATGAATCTATAGATATTCTTATAAAAGAATAGTGTCACTTGTGCTAATGAACCATAGCAACAACAAAATTAGGCCGTTAAGAGACTACTGACCCTGTACTAGCTCAGCCGTAATTGATGACTACTTAATAGTATGCAATAGTTGAAATCCCATTATTATCATGTTCAGCATCAACATCTATCAAAAATTGATAATTCTCCTTCTTAGTTTCTTTGGTCTGCAGCACAGGAAACTACAAGTTCTTTTTGAATTACCACGCAAATAAACAAGATACGTCTTTTTCACTAGAAAATTCCGTATGTCTGCGGCAGGTGGGCGATGTCGTGCCCCACGATGCAAAAGGGAAACTGGATTATTATTTGCGCCTGCAGCGATCCTGCCGTGGTTCGTCACTCTTGGCAAGTATGTACAGGCGTAGTATAACTGTCTTGTATCTCATCGGCGGCCAACTCAGCTTTGTGTTTATTCGGACGTGCGTTTTCTGGGTATTATATGAAGCTGAAACGAGGTGTCGAGGGCATGAGCACAGGAATCAAGCCTCGCTTCAGCTTAGCCTTAACGGGACTGACTGCGGGCCATTTCTGGCTGTTTCTACGTAAAACAGTGCCAGGGGTGTTTGCTTGCTTTCAATGATCGGCTGCTTTAATTTTCCTGATATGTTGGGAAGGCAAAGTCTTTTTGGACTGCTCAGTAAAAGACTGCCTATTGCAGCCGGCATGATGAGAATATCGTCAGACGATCAGGGACCTTTGGCACCATCCTGTCTTTTTGGATTTTAAGGTCACGCGTTGGTCAATGGACCCATCCATCGAAGTTCGTTACGTCTGGGTTTTATAAGCCTGATTTATGACACGTGATCTAACAGTTAATTTCGCCCGTCAGCTGGCGCTCTTCCGGTCGCTAAAGTGTCCATTTATTGTGGCGCACGTTCTGAATTTAATTTCACTTACGTGACACCACCACAAGGATACTCAGCTGTAAACTTCCGACAGTAGTAGAAGACTGAATGCAGAGCGCATTAAACCGGGTTTTTACACATGGCACAATGCAATAAGTAATTCACAAATTGCAGATCTGGCACGGCATTGTGAAGCACAAGGACAGTGTACTGTTCCCAAGGACAAGTGGAGCTGCAATATCTGTGGTACGGCATTAACGGCGCCCTGTTCCGATAGCGTCACAAGTAATTCGGTAAGTACTATTTAACGCATTAAACACATGGTCTAATAATGATGCAGTGAAATCCTGCTCGGTCAGCTTCTGTGCATATTATGGTGTGCGTCAAGGTATTGTCAAAAACATGGTCAGGTTTCTTCCGTTTACGGCACTACGTACATGTACAAGCTACAGCCAAACTTGGAAAAACCGAAGTCATTAACGAATTTTCTCTTGATATGTGCATACGGCAGTCGCATCAAACTTTGCAGTTTGATACTATTATTAAAGCATACTATTATTAAAGATGCATTGAATACTATTATTAAAGATGATGATGAAATCCAACTGCGATATGGAAACGGGTTGTTTGACAAGATATTACGATCGAGCAGGTTAGTACCGAACAACATGAGAGGCAGGTCAAGCGGGTCGGGTGGCTTAATTGTGATGCCTCCCAGATGACGGCACCGTATGTAGGAGATGGGAACTGGGTGCTGGAAAAGGGCTGCGGACGTGTGCTGAATGAGACCAGTACCATACCGCCGGGATTGTGGCCATCGAACAGCGTCTGCGATCCGTATTATGTATACTTCGACAAATTACTTATTCCGACTCCCCTTTAAGTTCGACTATAATATATTGCGATTCCCGCGGCTAGTTAAAAATGCAGTATGCACAACCGCCCTGGTTGGCGGCTGCTAGTTTATCAGCTGCACTTAATGATTTCATCCAACTTCTGCTGCCAACAAATTTTTATGGGTCGGCGTGCATCGTGTACGTACTGACTTCTGTCAATCAACAGAAAAATTCGCGAAGCAGTTGGATCGAGTGCAGCTATTAAGCTTGCACATTACAGTCATAATATAATAATATGTATCTGGGCTTCCTGTTAGTTAAAAAAGACTGCCAAACTGCAGGAGGTAACGTAATCGCGCACAATTTCACAAAGACGCTTGGTTGTCCATACTGCTCCCACTAAGATTGATCGAATTAAAGGGGAGTCGGTTTTTAATAATTTTCTGAAGTATGGCTCCTTAATCTGGAATAACTGCTGCTACAAAGTATCGGCCAGTGAATACCGTTGCTACTGCAAAGATGTAGACCATAATTTTGATTGGAGATCGTGTACACACCCATGCAATCTGCAAGGATTATACAGTAATTTCCTCCAACTGGCCATCTACAAGATGTATCAGGATAGACCAGTTGGACAGTGGGTTAGTAATTGTCACAGCCAGTAGTACTGTCATCTAGAAATCACGGTTCTTCCATGAAATAAACAGACAGCCTGGCAGTCTACTTGCACAGCAGTCCTGCTGTCTTTTTTAGCTGACCTTTGTACTGCTGGTGGATTAAATTAAATACGGTTGTACTCGTACGACAGTTTTAAATCCTGTGCAACAGATAAGCGATAATTTTTGGCTTTCTAATACGGGCTAATCCTGATTTACCGGGTTGGACGTCTAATCGCTACAAAATAATGCCCATGCCCTTTGCTAGGTCTAGGAGATCTTCCAAGCAGTTATTACCAGCCCTCCTGTGCAGCGAGTTTCAGTCTACGCTTTGTATGTTACAGTTTAGCTTTGAGCCGAGTCCCACGACAACCACAACGACCACTACGACGACTACAACTACAACAAGGACAACCACCACCACAACTAGGACCACGACACCCACAACCACAACGACCACGCCCACTACAACGACACCTACCACAACAACAACGCCCACGACAACCACCACGCCCACTACAACGACAACCACACCTACCACAACAACAACATCAACGACCACGCCCACTACAACGACAACCACCACAACTAGACCCACGACAACAACAACGCCCACGACAACGACCACGCCCACTAAAACGACAACCACACCTACCACAACAACAACATTAACGACAACGCCCACTACAACGACAACCACACCTACCACAACAACAACATCTACTACACCGACAACGCCCACTACAACGACAACCACATCGATGACGACGACAACATCGCCTACTACGACATCCACAACGACCTCAAAGCCTGAGTAAGGCAAAGTTTTTGCTAATTACCATCTTGGTGCGTTTTATTTTACGTACGCAGATAAAAACTTTCAGGACTGATATCCATAGATCTTATGCCAGCCGTACAACAAGGCATTAGCGCAACCTAAATTATTAAGAAATTATTTCTACTGTGTTCCACTTTCTTTTCAGAGACATTGAAACAACGCCCGGTGAGATATTCCTTCTCAGCAACGCTCTGTACTATGACGATCTTGTTATCTTTGCAGAAGAACCTGATTATCAGCTCCGAGGCCATGATTCGCGCACGACAACCACATACGGTACGATGACTGTATAATAGCACAACAACGATTCTCTGTGCGGGCCGAAAATTTAACGAATGTAATATACTTTGGTTTTGCAGTGCGATACAGTCGGCGCACTAAAGGGACCACCAAAGTACCAGGTACAGTGTAAGACTAAAAACAGTATCAGAATATTATTTCGTTCTGCCACCTATTTGCATAAACGAGCACTTCTCTCAGTTCACTGCTAGCCATTCATGCGCAACAGCGCATTGTTATCTTCCTGATACACACCGTTTGTTGATTTTTTATTAAGTTTTGCCAAAACGGACCGACTGGTTGATTTCCACGACTTTTATCACAATAAAAAATTTCTAGTATTAATAAAATAAAGTGGAGTATATTAGAATGTAAAAAATGTAAGTTTAAAAACTATGACTCAGGAAAAAAAAATCAAACAGATTTTAAGGTTAGCTGCAAGCCTGCAACTGTACAGAATTTTCATACGCTTTAGTATAAACGCCAACGTCCACCTGCGTTCCGATTTTCGGTAATGATTACGGATGATCAGCAGATGGGCAGTAATGATTACCATTGATGAACCATTGTTTCTGACATACTGCTGCAACTTTCGTTGCGGTACACATCACATCTTGAATGCGTGATTACATTGTTTTTGGTTGTTATGCATAGTATACATGACTCCGATGGTGTTAAGCGGAATGTCAGCCGGTGCTACGGTAAGATCTAAGCAAGGAATCTCTATAAGGTAAAATTAATGCCAAGGATTTTGTCATGCATGTTTCAGCTGTTCCTGGTCGCCGTGATCGCTTTAGCGCACTGGTGCTGTAAAAGAAGGTTGAAAGGACGACTAGAGCAGCCGGCGGACGGTGCCGTGCACAACGAAGTACGCGTCATCCATCGGCCGCGGCCCAAGTGGAATTTCATTACCGCCGAAGAGATCAAAGTCACCAGCAGGGTCAAAGACACGTAATTTCTGTATTAGGTTTCATCTACAGTACTGTATGTTACTTTTTATTGTGTTTACCCGTATATTCCTTCGCTTAATGGTATATGCCACATTATACATACTGTATATTCAATATACATTATACAGTACAATTAATTATGAGTGTTGTCGTTGAAATGTGTGAGTCTTGTCATCTTTTGTTTCTTTTAATGCATTGTTTATGGAAATATTGGATTAGAAAAATACGAATGATTCATTATGATTGTGATGCTGTATTTAAGTGCACAATAACAAACTGGTACCATTTTATAGATCAATACTTAGTTTTCGTAATTAAATAATGCCTAAACGACAATAGAGAGGTGACGAATCATGGAATGAAAGATTTCCGGATATGTATTTTACTGATATTTTTGGCACATTTTAAAATTGGCTGGCATTTATTCCACAACAGATTGCCGTAAATTGTATATTATATAGTGAACCAAACGAAATCTTGTTTCTTTACTTCTGCACGAGGAAACGGATTCATTTTTTTTCAAACATCGGAAATTCACGTTTTTTTTAAATAGCGCAGAGATACTCTGTGGAATACATCATCATTTGTTGGAGCATTCTTTTGAGAGGCACTTTCTAAAGGAATTATATACATATCCGCCTTGTTCCTCAGAGTGCGATGGTCTGCTTCAGTAGGAAAGCGGTGGTGGCCAGCAATCCCGCGGACGATACACACTGTTCCGCTCCGCTCGCTGTAAAAACACATTTTTTTCAAACACGTAACTGCTTACCCACGAAAAATTATTTACAGAATTATCTCGCTGTATTTCACATGTTATTAATAATAATAATATTATTATTATTCTAATGCTTATATGGCTATGCCGTCCGTGACCTTTATTAAAAGTAGTTGAGAATTCAAGTAAATCCATAAAAGTTGCCAAGGAAATACAGACTTCAAGCGCATTTAATGTAGAAATTCAGCACCAAATTTAAAAAACATTTACCCACGAAAAAACATCTTTAAGACGCACGATAATTTCGATCAAAAAATTAAATAAATAAAATATTTTTTATTCGGTGATCTATCCTTACTGATGCACTAGTTTGAACGCTCTATAAAAAATAAAACAGTTCGTGTAGAACGAACCATCTAATTGAAATAAATTTTATATTTGCCGAAAAATTTATTTTAATCAGATCTGATTAATCATGGATTCTAAAAATATTCGTGTAAATAAAGAACTGGTTTAAAAATTAAAAACTTAAGTAACAAATTATACACGGTACTCTCAATCTGCATATGTAAATTATCCTAAAGACCTCAACAACTCGGAAATTTTAATGCGGTGGAAAATTTTTTTTAAAGAAAACTGAAAAATTATATGCGGTGAATTTATCCTTACGATGAATTTCGTAAGCTGATTGTCTTACCGGTAGCGTTTGCGGTGGTGGCACCGGCCGCTGGTGCCGGTGTTCCGGCGGCTTCTACGGCGGAGGGGTACGTCTGGAGGAGGAGCACGACACACAGGGCCACCAGGCCGATAATAGCCGACAGACGCGACATGATAATCACGGAGTATACACTGTTTTTCCACCGACGGGCGTTTTTTAACGGAATACCAAGTATTCTCAATTGAAAAAAACGTGAATGAAGTACGACGAGCTCACCGGGGCACACAACGCGCAACAAATAATCAAAAGATTTAAATTAGTGCTTTTTGATATCTCCGACTGCTAGCAAATGGGTCGTTGGGTCGTACGTACATGTTTCGTTGCTAAGGAAAGGTCAAATACATAGTAAGCACGCGTACGTGATGATCCAGTGGACCAGTACAGTACAAATTATTGCTGTCAGATGTTGTAAGAAAGATTTTTTTTAAATTAATAAATAGAATACTGATCAATTTTTTTGTTTTCTTTAAAAATTTTCTGATTTCTAAAAAAGTGCAGATATACTAGTGCGCGTATATCTGCACAGCTAACCATAAAAACTCCCATTCAGGGCGGTAAAATGTGGAAAACAAACAAATGTATGTAATTTGCCCTGGCCAATATGCTGTTTAAATAAAAATATTTATTGTACATTGATTTTACTATTCATTTATTATTAATTTACAAAATCAAATATGTTATAATTATGTGTATAAGTGTAAAAAATTTCGGAGGTCCAGAACTGAGATGAGCTTTCTCTACCTATTTATTTATTCACCTATCTTTACTTATTTACCTCCTTGTTACGAAACAGTTTGTGCTGCTTGCTGCATAAGTGAGAAATAAATTTAGTAAAGAAAAATTAAATCTGTTCTAAAACATTTCGAAGGTGGAGAGCTGAGCTGAGTTTTTTCGCCAATTAATTTATTGACATAATTACGAGATTTGCAGTACTTCAGTATCGGCAGACCACAACGGCACCACCTTCCATTTATTTGTGTTGTTTTTCCCGCATCACTAATAAAATCCACAATAGTCAATAAAAAAATCTCCGACCAATTTAAACAAATATTTTACAGCATCTCAAAGTACGCATTATTCAGAATATTCGCGCGGCTTTGCCAATGAGCAGAAAGGTCACGGACAGTATGGCCAGGCACAGACAGGCCGGGACGTTGAGTTCCCATTCATCATCCTCGTTCTCCTCGCCGGCGAAGAACAAGTACATCCACCCGGCGAGCAGCGCGAAACCCCCCATGACCATCAATCCGTGCCCGAGACCCGGCGGCACGTAGTTGGGATCCACCGCCCCGGGGTCGCTGTCGGGGGTGGGCTGTGGGCGGCGGAGGAACACCTGCACCACGGTGTCGGCGTGGATGCCGTGATCGGCCAGACGGGACGTGGGCGGGGCCAGGACGCGGCCCATGTAGAGAAGCTGACCGGTCTGTCCTGAAAAATTCATAGAAAACACAAATTTCAAGTGACGTAATTCAAGGCGTAAAATAAAATACACAATAAAAATAATTTAAATAATGCAAACATAATCACCATTAGTGATGTGATACGCTTAACATATCGTAATTGATTTCATTGAGCAGGCCAGTAATGATTTATTTCAAAATGTTTTCTTTTATTTCTCAGTTTTTATTTTATCGATGCTACCAGTTATGAGTTCTTGGAATTTTTCTAAAATTCATTGCATATTTTATCTTCTGATATATCATAAACGTATGTTACCGTATTATAATTCAATAACAATGCGAGTATTATTCCGATCTACACTTTTCATGTAATTATTCATTAAATTTTTTAAAAACTTTATTACGTTATTTTTAAAAAGATTAAAATTTTTTTACCGATAAATGGCCGTAATCGCTACGCCTAACAGGAAAGTATCGTTTGGAACTTTTTTAAGGAACCCTGAAACAGGAGAAACCAAAATCGGCCATCCTAAACCGCTCCATAAATCAGCAATAAATAACCAATTAATTTTACAACAATCATAATACTTAAAAATCTCGGTAAATACCGTAAATCGTAAACGTTGTTATCTCTACCTGCCTCTCACTCCGGTCAATCAACGTAACGATAGAAAATTCATACAAAGAATAAAAATTAAAATCATCAAAAACACCAAAAAAGGAAAAAACCCCGAAGATCACCACAAAAAATTACAAAACGATGAAAGACACCAAGCAGATTAAAAATTTCAGAAACAAGAAAACTAATAAAACGGATTACACGAGTCGACAAGAAAACAAACGAAATTCAAGTCAGGAAAAGCGAAAGAATGAACAGAAAACTGAGAAAACACAAAATACGCCAGCAGTAACACGGGGCGGTGGCGCTGTGCACACCGTCCCCCGTACCGGGGCTAATGTGCGCCGCCACATGTTCATCGTACAACGCGGCCACCGTCGTCGTCCCATCCACCGCCACCACCTCCGACCGCCCGTCGGGAAACTGCAGACGAATCGATAGGCTCATGGTGTATCAGGGGGACGCAGCGGTGGGGTTGGAATGCTTGTGGGTCGTCGCTGTAGGCTGCATCACGTTGGAGAACCCACACAGTCACATCGCGGAGCTCCGTTTCCAAATCAATCAGTCGTTTATGGATTCCGAGCAGCTCACGATCCTAAGTATTGGCACTCAGTCATTCCTTGACGGCAAAATAATTTTTCCATAGAAAATCATGGGAAGAAAAGCAAAAGGTAGCCAGGGGTGAATTTAAGAAAACTTGGTAATCAAATTTTTGATTCAAAAATTAATAATAAAAATATCGTTTTTATTTTCACTGCGCAGTGTAGTCGAAATTTCATTGGGCCACATTATATTTGCGACCGCCACTCGCGTAGGCGGTGCCGTGAACGTCGCTGACGTAGCACTGAAGTTGTCAACAGTAAAGCAGCTGTTAAAAAAATTCCTTATGCAGTTTTGCTGCTTATTTGCAGCCGATTTGTTATGCAATGCCGATTTTAACTACTTATTCCAATTTAGCTACTATAAATTGCATATTATAAAAAAAATTAAATTATTGTGTAAGCGCAGAAGTGTTACTTATTTAAATTCTAGCGTTCGAATTCTGGATTATATTCCACAAAAATTTTATCGTTTTTCAAAACTAACAGTCTAACAGAAATAAATCAATATTTAAAAAATAAATATTTTAAAAATAAATATTCTTAAAAAATTTTAAAATAAATATTTTTGAAAATAAATATTTAGACAAACGATAAACTTATGAACCAGTATGTATGTACAATGGACGCCAAAATTGTCTTACACTTATGTAATCACAAAACTCGCGCAACCAGGCACTTTTCTGTACTCAAACAGCCAAATTTTTGACTGGCTATCGGCTTGCTGACATTTAAATTTTACACTTGAACCTTGCGCATTTCCCAACGAAAACCATCGACCAATAACTCAAACGAAAGAGGAAAAAATTTCAAGAATTTTGATACCAAACAAGGTGTTCTTTATAAGATCTAAGAGATAATCCAGCCATCTAAAGTTTCTCGTAGACATAGCATAGGATTTGCATCCGCGGTTTGGTTTCAGTTTTCACACAGAAATCGTGTGCTTTGTCTACGACAAACTAAAATGGCTCGATTTTCTCTTATATCTCATGAAGGATGACTCATTTGGTATGGAAATTCTTGAAATTTTTTTGTCTTTCGTTTGAGATATCGCTTCATGGTTTTCGTTGGGAAATGCGCCAGGAACAAGTGTTCGTATTCTTGCGCGTTTTCTGTTTATTGGTCATTTGGTCCTAGCCATTTATTTTTATTGGTCATTCGGTCCCGGACCGAATGTAAGACAATTTTGGCTTCCATTGTACATAGTGCGAAAGAAATATAAACCTTCGCAAATATGTATTTTGTATCTTAATATCGTACAAACTATAACCAGAAAAATTACAAAGTGCGCCACTGCGCTTCCGCGGAGAACTGATTTTGGAGACGTAAATAAGTAGGTACTTTCCTTGCAGCGCCTGAGGGCGGCAGCTTAAGCGACACCGCTCCAACGGTTGTTATTGATTCTTTTATAATAAAAACATGCGATATCCATGGATATCGCATGTTTTTATTATAAATGGCCAGCGAATGACTGGCCAGACATTCATGTGTCAACTGCCAACGAGTAACGTTGCGAGACATACGACACAATACACTTTATCATTTACCGAAATAATTATGGGAAAACCACGATACTACCGTCCGCTTAGCGATGTTGTGCAGCATATTACGTGGTACATGTTTATCATTACAAAGTGTCAATATACGAAGCCGGATGAATGCATTGCAAAGCAACAAATCACTTCCTCTCATTACTGCATAGCTGCTGATAAGCGTTGAACAGCTCCGATAAAGGGCAACCGATAGCAGCACAGCACAGCATTGTAGCGGTTATCAATCGAAACGCGCACTTCCGCTAGCACGCTGAATGCTTCGTTGTGCGGCATTTCCGAGAGTATCTTGGTTACCTGAAGTTTTTCTTGCGCCGCTACGATAATTTTCACTATATGGATAACTGCAGAAATTTCTAAACGCTCGTGCGTAATAACATACAGAATTTTTAGATTTTCACTGAGCGACGATTTCCGGGATCTTTTCTGTCCATTTAAATGTGTTATTTTGTACATAACCAAAGCTATCATGTGGATGTACCAAGCATCTGTTGTCATCGTCCTGATTTTCAATCTGCACTGTGTTTCTTCTCAGGTGAGTGTTTCACGGTATTTTAACGCGTTAACGTTTCGGTAAGGAAACTGTGCCGGTACATCATAACAAACATTCGTGTACACGGACGAAAACCTTCATTTTCGCGCACTCCCAAAGAGGTTTTGCTATGTTTTGTGACATTCTGTAGCCAAATGATTTGCATATGTTGGCGTGAAAACCGTTCATGCGCGCAACATTCCGTTGGGAAGCTGAAATGAAATTCCAAAAAGTTATGGCTGAAATGAAATTCCAAAAAGTTTAAATGTACTGAGGGGTACCAAAAGCCTCATTATCGAACCGATCCTCATCAAACTTGAAATTTTGCAAAAAAACGTACATGAAGATCCCTTTTTTCAAACAATCTGCTTAATGGTGCCATATACGCTTTTAGCTGCAAGTTCGCTGGGCACAAGCGGCGATAACGGAGGACGGTGGCAATCGTCGAACCGGTCAAGTGGAAGGCTTCGCACCAACGCACAACACGTGGTGGAAAACGTGCTCATCCAATGTCACAATTCGCAGCTCGCCTAGCCGTTTGGGACGGCTGCTGTGCCAAAAGTTCGGCTTCGATAATGTAGTGTCAATCCGGTTCGCCAGTGGCGCTCCATCACCCGGCTACGCGTCGGTAGATATTGTCTCCTGTCCCGGTCAGTGAATTATCTTATAATACAGATTACAGATCACTGCTGATCCGCTTTAAGTTTTTATGAAAATTTAATATGGATCAGTATGCTGACTTTCTTATTGCACACGGACCACGGCGACAGTAATCATGAGCTTCAGACTGTATAATGCGGGAAACACTCACTGATTTCTCCTTAACGAAATATATAACACATAACACATATACAACACATATAACACATGTATTTTGTTTTGCTGCTGACAGATGATGTTGACGATATCTCCATGTGTCAGTTTGCGGAAATAAGACAGCAGACACAGTGCGGACGGAATTTCCTCATCAGCCTTACGTGCAACGGTAATGAGCAGATTTAATACTCGTAAAGGCTACATGCAATAAAGCTTGTTAGGAAGCTTTAGTGCACAACGAGCGCTTCGACGTTTTTCGCATTCCAGACTTTTTCACAATATAAATTCGCACACTGGACACCAGAGATCATCTATTCTACGCGTTGTTCTACAATCCACGTCACTACTCACTATAGCTCCTAAGAAGTTGATTACTTGATAATTATTGTTTGTATTTAAAAGCTTATCAAACTTGCTAAAGTGGAAAAACGCACAGTGTACCGCCTCTATGGTGTCCGGTACGTGAATTCATATTGTGAAGATGTCCGGAATGCAAAACAACGTCGAAGTATTATGCTTTAAACCATCGATCTCGTAGAGCTTACTCCGGAACCGCTCCCGGCACCGCCATTGGTTGGCAACAATGACATCCGCGAGATCACCTGCAACGCCACCCGTCGTATGCGCCTGCCCACGGGCCCGCAGATCCGCAGTATCTTCCACCGCTCCCGTGTCGGCCCGACCAACCAGTGCAGTATGGAGTTCCTGGTGCAGGGTGATGTCTACCTGCATTTAGACAGCAGCCGGCTGGTGCGATATCCCAACACCCCGGCGAACATAGCGTGTAACAGCATCAACCATGTGATCATCCGGCAAATTCTCCAGTATCAGCGGATCGAACCTACCGGAATGGTAGATGTGCGGGAGGTTAGAGAGGAGCGCTTCTGCGGGCAGCAGAACGATATGCGCACTGTGATTATCAGCCCGGTGGCGGTGTCGGTCAATATCACGTTTGTGAGGGCCACTCCGTTGGCGGGAGCAGAGCAGTTTGATATCACGCTGGAAGGTAAGGAAGCTGTGGAAAGCACACTTTACTGTCGCGGCAAGTTGATTTGCACAGCCGCAGTGTAATGAGCTCGCTTAGCGTATGGGATAATTATACAAATAAATAGGAAAAGTTACTTCCTTGTTCAGAACGGGAGATACAGCATTCCCGTTTACCGAAATTTGAGTTTTCGTCATACACTGTCGCAAGGTATTGGTAAACATTCCGTCTAAACAACGAGAAATCCTGAATACAAAAATCAATGATAAAGTATTGTGTTATCATAAAAGCGTATATGCGACCTTTACGACACAACATGACTGAATTTTCACGTTAGAAAACAGGATTTCTAGAGAAAGATCTGGTTTTATTGTACCACATAAGTTTAAAGTTGGACTCGTACGGAAGCAGCTTAATATGAACAATGCAAGTTTTCTCTGTCATTTATTTCGTTTATTAGTTAGTTGTCTCGGTGTCCAGAAGAATTTGATTTTTTGCCGTAAACCTTACTGCTTAACAGAAAAGTTAAATAAGTTCTTGCAAATTATACCGGTAAACAAGCGATTTTAGCCACCAGCTAATGTGGCTTGCGGTATTCCATACAATAAATTTGCAGGATGCATTGATCTTCCCTACCCTATAAATGTGTTGTCGATTTAACAGCAATTCCGCAGATAGCCGCACACTGTGGCTCCTCCTCCATGAACGTGTCCATCGTCAAGCAAAAGCTAGCCGGATGGAACAACGGGACCTGGACCGCGCAGGTCGTCAACCAATCGCTGACGATTCCGCCGTCATCCGCTGACCAGCAGTGTCGTGCTGTACAAAGCGACGTCCAAAGCCGTTCCACGGATTTTTTCCAATTTGTCTTTGATGCCACACGCTGCCCGCGCATCTTCAACATGGATGTATGTGCGATGTGCATTATCTGCGTAAAAAGCGACTTGTAGGATTTTCTATTAGACAGATAACTACACCTTATCCTACCAAGTCTTGGTGGCCCGGAGTGAACAAGTGGATATCGGCGCGGTACAAATTGAGTATCGGGACCAATTCTTGATCCCCATTCGCTGCTATTTGAAAATGGATCCGGCGGGAGCGGAGCTAGAAGATGTTAACAGCGGGGATGTTCTTCCGTTTGAGGATATTTCGGAAACCATCGTTATACCGTACAGGTACGTAATTTTCGTATGTTCTCCTGGTGACCTTTAGATTTTTTTCAGAGTGAAATGTTTTGCAGTGTAAATGTATATCGAGATTCCAGTCTCCAAGTTCCATTTCAATATTTGACCTTTAACAACGGGGAAACGGCGTTTTATTTGGTGGCGACACCTATGGATACCGGGACACCGGTCAACAGTATTCGAACAGAGGTTGAGCGCTGTCTGGCCAGGAAATCAGACGGTTCAAACGAAAACAACGACATTGTATTATATAATTCGGGGTGCGTATTGCATAGACACTTGCTGAGTCTCATCGTAATTTAAGCAGATATCGAAAATTATTCAACTGCTGCTATATTTTTTAGAACAACAATACCTGGTGTCGATCCACGGGTGACCACTAATAAGGGATTACAATCGCTGACGCTGGCAGTAACCTTGAGGACTCTTAGTTTTTCCAGCGGTAGTTATGATTTTATGTGCTATGTACGCAGTGGTTTCGGCAATGAGCCGGTAGCTTATCATAGTAATGCTTTAATATAGCAGTTGCCGTTGCAGTTTGTACGATAATGCTGTAAACTGCTTTCTCATTTAAAATAAAGGCAAGCGTGCTGAGCCTAGGTCGAATTCGGTACAGTTCATCTCAAACTGCTGGCGAGGAAGTAAAATTGTAATACCTATGTGACAGCGTTGGGTGAAGATCACAGATTACATTAAGTTTTTCTGACAGCTAGGGTAATTATTTTTTGAATCGATTAAATATTTTTCTAGTTTGTGCATTACGCGACTACAGTGGTACAAGATCTACAAAAAAAAAGAACAATCATCAGCCACATTTGTTTCGTTTCGCAAGTTGTATAACTGTTCCTTACGCAAAATCCGTGTATGGTATGGTATTTTCGAAGTTATGTCCGGGAAATTGTTGTGTGAACCGGGGCAATAAACAAATTTGGTAAAATAAGTACTTGAACTTGTTAGCTGTGCAATAGTCTAACTAATTATCGCACCCGCACGCGGTGACAGCATTCGGATTTCCCTATCTGTTAATTGACTTTACGATGTACGGTTCACCAGTGTATTGTATTTACGCGCACTTGCACGGGCATGTTCACCGAATTCAGTTAGTCTTATACGGACCTAGTGAAAATGTTTACTTTCTCATGCCCTTTGCTCCGGATAGTTTAATTGTGTGATAGACTGATAGTACAGCGATCGCCCGATATGCGCGTACAGTATATCCGGTAGATGCCATTTCCTTAAAAACGTTTTATCAAACATTTGTTAATCATTGTGCAGTGTTGGTTACTGTCGGTGAACCGGGTAAAACGGTTAATACCGATATAGATTTCGATACGCAGTGAAGGAATTACATCCAAACAAATCAGAAGATGGATCCTGCACTGAAAAAGCATGCCGATGAAAATTCTTCGGTGGACAAAAAGCGGATGATCATAAACATGACACAGTCCCTGCTGGATTTTATTAGTGCAGGGGATTTCGAGTCGTATTCGTAAGTACTCTTAGCGATAATTCATACTTGCAGCACTTACCTGTGCACTAAATCGCACGTAATTTAAAGGCAATTTTCTGTTTTGTTTTCTCAGTTACAGTGCGGATAGCTTTACTTACTAAATTCTGATATTTTTTTGTAGTAAGCTCTGTGATCCTTCCCTGACCGCTTTTGAACCAGAAGCACTGGGACATCTTGTTGCCGGGATGGATTTCCATAAATTTTACTTCGATAATCGTAAGCCAAACGAATTTTTTTGCGCTCATTCATCGGAAATTTCAAGGATAATAAATATTTGTCATTTTCCACCACGTACAGGTACACAGCGTGGATCAAGGTCGGTTCAGACCTCCGTGGTGAATCCGCAAGTTCACCTCCTAGGCGATGATGCGGCCTCGATTGCCTACATCCGTTTGATCCAGAGTATTGACGAGTGAGGAATCTAACCGGCAGAAAAGCTTCATAACGTAAGCGGTATTTATTCAGATTTAAAATTGGTTGTCGTTTCGCAGATCGGGTGCTGCGGCGTCGCAATCCTTTGAGGAAACTCGTGTATGGCATAAGCGCGACGGACGCTGGCAGTTGGTCCATTTTCATCGCTCCGGCGGCCGTTTGTCCACCAAGACACCGACGTAAATTGTTACAGCATTCTGTGTAGACAGTGTAGTTTTTACTTCCTGGTACAATTTTCAAATTATGATTATTGCTTGTGTTTGCTTGTGTTTCTGCTCTGATGATGAGAGAATTACGTTCCTTTTGGGTCTGTTCCATGGGCAAAATTGTGGCACTTCGAGCCCAAAACTGTTTATAGGTTACATGTAAGCAGGTGAACTCGAGAGGATGCGCATCGCGCATAAAATTAATATACTGTATATCTGTACATGATGTACGTTACATGGCGTTGAACAATTTACGACAAAAGGCGGCAGTTGCTCGTTTTAACCGCTTCACGTAATACGGGTACTTGTGCGAACAAATTGCGATGAGCGCCTGACTAAAGGCTTTCCGAAAACATAACTGTATTAACTGTAACTGTATTAACTGTACATGTATAACTAACTGTATTAAATAGTATACGTATCTTTTTTGTGTAATAAAAAGTTCGTTATTGTTTTTAGAATTTGTAGTTTTGGCATTATTTGACAAAAATGAGAGGTACCTTACCCTAGGTCAAAAATGTCATATTACATGTAGTAGAATATCGTAGAACAACGGCAGGGATTAAAACATTATCAAGCACGTACAGTATTATCTTGGTTAGAACGCCGGCAAGCAATGCAACACCAAACTTTAAGAAACTGAAGGGAGTACAAAACATTTTTTTGGATATATATTTATTAGTTGCGATAAGCACCAAGACCGATTGTGATTGAAAACTTTACCGGTTAAACATTTGTATGCTTAGTCACGGAATGGCTCGACTTACTACTAAATCAATTGGCCGAATATAAGCGATCTCCTAGCAAAGTATCTTAATCATAATTCATCACCGATTAAGACGTTTGCGATTTTCGAAAACACGGTCTTTTCATTATCGCGCCGATCATTGATCGCCGATCACCAATTTATAAGACCAAAAAATGTTCTTCGAGAGGTATTATTCGCCGTAAACGCAGATGCAGTCGATCAAGAAAGCTTCGGTGCAGTTTTCTGTAATCAATTCCGGTGCTTTACTGCTTTCGTGTGTAGCGTATACATAAACGCCCAAAAGCTGCACACATGGGGCCGCCTCGCTAGAGTCTCACGCTGACCAATCAGTACCGTCCTTGTATGAATTTCACCGATTACAATTTAGCCGCTTTTCTTTGTCTCAGTGCTCGTGTTTTGGTGGGTGTATCCAGCAAGTGATTACGAGAAATTTCCCTGTTACGCCGCTTAGCTGGCATGACAGTCATAGTTCATTAGGTCATAGTTCAGTATTCAAGCGTCTACTTATTCCTGCCTGATCTTGCAAGTTCAGTGCGTCTGGTTCTTATTTTAAACTTTTAGTGTTGATAGCAGTTTATTTATTCAGTCGCTTGTACGACTTACGAGGACAACGTCAATAACTAAAATCATCCTTTTTGTAATTCATCTATTCTGGATAATGGATTTTTTTATGTATCTGCTTATGTTCTTCGGTTTACCAGGGTTTATTTTTTTGTGTGTGTGTCGCGTACGTATTTGTATGAGAGTATACAGAGTACGCCCGTTAAACGTAATGATTCACGACTGATGGCACCGTATAATAAACAAATCCGTGCAATCTGCAGAATAACATTGCGCGTTAAATACTGTAGTTAACGGTAAAAAGCGGAAGTACATGTACGGAAGTGCTTTTTTATCGGTTTGGCAAGATTGCCATGAACACAACTGTCGCAACATGACTGCAGACTTATCGAGAAACATAATTTTATTAGCTTCCTTGGAAACATCATTTTATTAGTGTTCGCACGGGTGTTGGCTGCGTGCACGGAGCTCGGACACGGGTATTGGCTGTGTGCACGGGTGACCTTTGTGGGGATCGGCACGGGTGTTGGCTGGGTGCGCGGCTTTTAAATTTTATTATGATTTTCGAATTTTGGTCGTAACATTTACAGTTTTCTAGGACTTATTAAACCGCAACAGTTTTTTCGACCGGTTTCTGACGTATTTTTTCATGAGCGCACAATCGCCTGAAAACGTAATGCGACTGTTACTACGGAAACAAAATATGACGGGCTTGGGGAATTTTCTTTTGGGGCTGACTTTAAAGTTTAAAGCTTCCAAGAAAGCTACTGACCTGATACACTGTCGCTTCAGAATCGGGAACAAACTCCTCATCGGTCAGCAGATCATTGACTTCTTCTGCACTGCACAGAAGAAACACTTCGGAATCGGCAAACCGACAGCGACGTGGAAGATGCTGGATAATCTTCGCTACGGTCGACCTCTCCAACTCCACGAGTCCATCCCGACGTGCCAGACGCCAAAGTCGGTACACGTTCTCCGGTCGCTTCATTATTTCGTGCAGTATCTTTTCGGCATACTTGACGGCTTCGTCCATCTGCACGTATTTGGCGGCCGTCCACACTCGGACGGCGTCTTGGCGTTCCACGGCAAACTCGGACTCGACTCTGCTGAGACTCTCCACCAGCTTGACCAGCGTTTCCAGATGGACATTCTCCGGTTGATGCAGCTCGATGCTGGCCGAGTCGCGTTCCTGGAAATGTCCACCCAACATGGCGCCGAAGTACGGTGACCCTTGGATGAGTGCGTCTTTGTCCACGGACAGTATTGCACGGCCGATTCGCAGCAGGAAAATGGTTGTGTTTTTCTGCTGTTGATGGGCCGTCTTTAATTTCTTCGAACAATTTGTATCCAATACTGGCGAAGTAGGAAAAACTGTACCAAAATTAAAATTGTACGTCGTGGAAAATAGTCAGATCTATTACAGGAATTACCAATAGGTCTAGCTAGAAAATATGGTATGTTAGTAATGTTATCAAATAATTCGCAGTTGAAAAGTCTCACTACACTGGAAGTGTGAAAAAGTGAGATTTGCAAAAACAAAACCGATGACTGTCTGCTTTGCGTGCAGTGGTGCACCAGTCTAATGCATGTCCACACTTCTCTGCATGGTACGTACTACTAGTATGTACTGGCATCATGGCATGAATTCGTGCATTTAATGCGAGTGTTTTGTAATAACCATAAACCCGTCGGTCAAGGACCATTCGTTGAAAATCCGTTTTTTGTGCTTTATCCATGCGTACGTTTTAAACACATCAGCCTCGCTTGCGTCTCTCGATCGCTGACCAAATAAGTACAGTACGCTGACCAGCAAGTACCGCCCGTCATACAGTCCATCGCCATCACTCCGTCCTACAAGCTGCCAGTCTTACTCGTACCAACGACCAGTTCTCGACCAACGGCCACCGCAAACCCGAACACGACCTCAGTCTTTGGCCAGGATGGAGCCAACGTCGCCTGCAACGGTGAATTCAGCTTGGTGAAGTCGAAGCAGAGGAACTGATGCGGACGATGTTGGCGCATGTGGTAGAAGATGGCCTCTTTCGGAATCGCACGCTGGAGTGAAGCTCCACCTCCCACCACACCGCGGTTGCGGTCGTCCCGAATTCGGGTAGCGCCGCCTGTATTGGCCCTGCAGCGGTGGCTATCAATTATTCGATGTTCAAGTGATCCCACACGATGCACCCATCCAACAGACGATGCAGGCGTTCGGTGGCGTCGTGCAGGGACCAGCGCGCTGTCGCCTGCAACAGGAGAGTGGAAGTTTTTAAAAAGTGTTGTCACACTTCCCATTGCAATATACGACTGGAAAACTTATTCGAGAGATTTATCTTTAGTGAAGTCCTAAAAACAATCTCGAAATAAATAAAAAATTCTCGATTTCTTTTTTTTTTCATGTTTTAGTTTTAGTATAAAACGGTCGTTCGCTCGACTTATGCGCTCTGTGATCAGCTATCAATTAATGGGGAGAATCTTGATTTATTATTAGTGATCATTGATCAATTATTGTATATTAATTTTGCCCACTTGGCTGCTCTAAGAGAATCTGAGAAACTCCAGAAAACGTAATGCACCAACATGATAAACAGCGGCTTCTGATTCTGGCATGTACTTCTCATCCGTCAACAGGTCCCTGACCTCATCCAAGCTACACTGAAGAGAGTTTAACCCGTTTAGGGTAACTAAGACATAGTTTCCCTGTAGCGGCCGCTATAGCCGACACACAAAAAGTCGTTGCGCCCTCAAGAGACACCAATGGAACCAATGGAACTCTATTGGAACCCGATGGAACTGTTGGAACTACTATCTGTTCTTGTACATGTCTTATTGCGCCCTTGTGTAGTACCAATCCAATGGAACCTATGGAACTCTATTGTAACCCGTTGGAACTGTTGGAACTACTATCTGTTCTTGTACATGTCTTATTGCGCCCTTGTGTAGTACCAATGGAACCTATGGAACTCTACTGGAACTGTTGGAACTTCTGTAAATCGTCTCATTGCGCCTTTATTTGATTCCAGTGGAACTTATGGAACTCTACTGGAACTCGCTGAAACCAAAGGAAGCATTGTTAATACGTTCCAATGGGTTCCAATAGAGTTCCATTGGTTCCATGTATCACGTAAAGGGCGCTATGAGAAACGTACAGTAGTTCCGACAGTTCCAATGGGTTTCAATACGGTTCCATACGTTCCATTGGTATCATAAGGAGGCGTAACATGAACTTCTGTTGCGGTTTCATCGGATACTAGCGTAGCTATTTAGTTGACTGGATGGAACTGGTGGAACTTATGGAACCAGTGGAACTTGTGGAACCATTGGAACTCTAGAGGAACCGCCTTCTTACCCTAAACGGGTTAATCTATTATGAATCGCTCCAACTCCACGAGTCCATCCCGACGAGCCAAACGCCAAAGACGGTACATATTCTCCGGTCGCTGCATTATCTCGCGCAAGATTTTCTCGGCCGCTTTCACTGCATTGTCCATCTGCAGGTATTTGGCGGCCATCCACACTCGGACTGCGTCTTCGCGTTCCACTGGAAAACCGGAATCTCCTCGGCTGAGACTCTCCACCAGTCTGACCAGCGTTTCCAGATGGACATTATCGGGCTGTTGCAGCTCGATGGTGGCTGAGACGCTTTCTTGGAAATGTCCGCCCAGCATGGCGGCGAAGTACGGTGATCCTTCGATGAGGGCGTCTTTATTCACAAACAGTGTTGTCCTGTCGATTCGCAGCTGGATGGTCGTTGGGTTCTGCTGATGCGCTGACTTAAGTTTCTTCGTACAATTTGCATCCATAGTCGTGAAACAAGGAAAATTGTATACAAATCAACGTTGTGGAAAATAGTCAGATCTAGTAATATACTGTACAAATTACCAACTATTGCAAGCGAGGAGG